CCACCTCTGGGTGGCCGCGAAATGACAACTGTCGGCCACCTCTGGGTGGCCGCGAAATGACAACTGTCGGCCACCTCTGGGTGGCCGCGAAATGACAACTGTCGGCCACCTCTGGGTGGCCGCGAAATGACAACTGTCGGCCACCTCTGGGTGGCCGCGAAATGACAACTGTCGGCCACCTCTGGGTGGCCGCGAAATGACAACTGTCGGCCACCTCTGGGTGGCCGCGAAATGACAACTGTCGGCCACCTCTGGGTGGCCGCGAAATGACAACTGTCGGCCACCTCTGGGTGGCCGCGAAATGACAACTGTCGGCCACCTCTGGGTGGCCGCGAAATGACAACTGTCGGCCACCTCTGGGTGGCCGCGAAATGACAACTGTCGGCCACCTCTGGGTGGCCGCGAAATGACAACTGTCGGCCACCTCTGGGTGGCCGCGAAATGACAACTGTCGGCCACCTCTGGGTGGCCGCGAAATGACAACTGTCGGCCACCTCTGGGTGGCCGCGAAATGACAACTGTCGGCCACCTCTGGGTGGCCGCGAAATGACAACTGTCGGCCACCTCTGGGTGGCCGCGAAATGACAACTGTCGGCCACCTCTGGGTGGCCGCGAAATGACAACTGTCGGCCACCTCTGGGTGGCCGCGAAATGACAACTGTCGGCCACCTCTGGGTGGCCGCGAAATGACAACTGTCGGCCACCTCTGGGTGGCCGCGAAATGACAACTGTCGGCCACCTCTGGGTGGCCGCGAAATGACAACTGTCGGCCACCTCTGGGTGGCCGCGAAATGACAACTGTCGGCCACCTCTGGGTGGCCGCGAAATGACAACTGTCGGCCACCTCTGGGTGGCCGCGAAATGACAACTGTCGGCCACCTCTGGGTGGCCGCGAAATGACAACTGTCGGCCACCTCTGGGTGGCCGCGAAATGACAACTGTCGGCCACCTCTGGGTGGCCGCGAAATGACAACTGTCGGCCACCTCTGGGTGGCCGCGAAATGACAACTGTCGGCCACCTCTGGGTGGCCGCGAAATGACAACTGTCGGCCACCTCTGGGTGGCCGCGAAATGACAACTGTCGGCCACCTCTGGGTGGCCGCGAAATGACAACTGTCGGCCACCTCTGGGTGGCCGCGAAATGACAACTGTCGGCCACCTCTGGGTGGCCGCGAAATGACAACTGTCGGCCACCTCTGGGTGGCCGCGAAATGACAACTGTCGGCCACCTCTGGGTGGCCGCGAAATGACAACTGTCGGCCACCTCTGGGTGGCCGCGAAATGACAACTGTCGGCCACCTCTGGGTGGCCGCGAAATGACAACTGTCGGCCACCTCTGGGTGGCCGCGAAATGACAACTGTCGGCCACCTCTGGGTGGCCGCGAAATGACAACTGTCGGCCACCTCTGGGTGGCCGCGAAATGACAACTGTCGGCCACCTCTGGGTGGCCGCGAAATGACAACTGTCGGCCACCTCTGGGTGGCCGCGAAATGACAACTGTCGGCCACCTCTGGGTGGCCGCGAAATGACAACTGTCGGCCACCTCTGGGTGGCCGCGAAATGACAACTGTCGGCCACCTCTGGGTGGCCGCGAAATGACAACTGTCGGCCACCTCTGGGTGGCCGCGAAATGACAACTGTCGGCCACCTCTGGGTGGCCGCGAAATGACAACTGTCGGCCACCTCTGGGTGGCCGCGAAATGACAACTGTCGGCCACCTCTGGGTGGCCGCGAAATGACAACTGTCGGCCACCTCTGGGTGGCCGCGAAATGACAACTGTCGGCCACCTCTGGGTGGCCGCGAAATGACAACTGTCGGCCACCTCTGGGTGGCCGCGAAATGACAACTGTCGGCCACCTCTGGGTGGCCGCGAAATGACAACTGTCGGCCACCTCTGGGTGGCCGCGAAATGACAACTGTCGGCCACCTCTGGGTGGCCGCGAAATGACAACTGTCGGCCACCTCTGGGTGGCCGCGAAATGACAACTGTCGGCCACCTCTGGGTGGCCGCGAAATGACAACTGTCGGCCACCTCTGGGTGGCCGCGAAATGACAACTGTCGGCCACCTCTGGGTGGCCGCGAAATGACAACTGTCGGCCACCTCTGGGTGGCCGCGAAATGACAACTGTCGGCCACCTCTGGGTGGCCGCGAAATGACAACTGTCGGCCACCTCTGGGTGGCCGCGAAATGACAACTGTCGGCCACCTCTGGGTGGCCGCGAAATGACAACTGTCGGCCACCTCTGGGTGGCCGCGAAATGACAACTGTCGGCCACCTCTGGGTGGCCGCGAAATGACAACTGTCGGCCACCTCTGGGTGGCCGCGAAATGACAACTGTCGGCCACCTCTGGGTGGCCGCGAAATGACAACTGTCGGCCACCTCTGGGTGGCCGCGAAATGACAACTGTCGGCCACCTCTGGGTGGCCGCGAAATGACAACTGTCGGCCACCTCTGGGTGGCCGCGAAATGACAACTGTCGGCCACCTCTGGGTGGCCGCGAAATGACAACTGTCGGCCACCTCTGGGTGGCCGCGAAATGACAACTGTCGGCCACCTCTGGGTGGCCGCGAAATGACAACTGTCGGCCACCTCTGGGTGGCCGCGAAATGACAACTGTCGGCCACCTCTGGGTGGCCGCGAAATGACAACTGTCGGCCACCTCTGGGTGGCCGCGAAATGACAACTGTCGGCCACCTCTGGGTGGCCGCGAAATGACAACTGTCGGCCACCTCTGGGTGGCCGCGAAATGACAACTGTCGGCCACCTCTGGGTGGCCGCGAAATGACAACTGTCGGCCACCTCTGGGTGGCCGCGAAATGACAACTGTCGGCCACCTCTGGGTGGCCGCGAAATGACAACTGTCGGCCACCTCTGGGTGGCCGCGAAATGACAACTGTCGGCCACCTCTGGGTGGCCGCGAAATGACAACTGTCGGCCACCTCTGGGTGGCCGCGAAATGACAACTGTCGGCCACCTCTGGGTGGCCGCGAAATGACAACTGTCGGCCACCTCTGGGTGGCCGCGAAATGACAACTGTCGGCCACCTCTGGGTGGCCGCGAAATGACAACTGTCGGCCACCTCTGGGTGGCCGCGAAATGACAACTGTCGGCCACCTCTGGGTGGCCGCGAAATGACAACTGTCGGCCACCTCTGGGTGGCCGCGAAATGACAACTGTCGGCCACCTCTGGGTGGCCGCGAAATGACAACTGTCGGCCACCTCTGGGTGGCCGCGAAATGACAACTGTCGGCCACCTCTGGGTGGCCGCGAAATGACAACTGTCGGCCACCTCTGGGTGGCCGCGAAATGACAACTGTCGGCCACCTCTGGGTGGCCGCGAAATGACAACTGTCGGCCACCTCTGGGTGGCCGCGAAATGACAACTGTCGGCCACCTCTGGGTGGCCGCGAAATGACAACTGTCGGCCACCTCTGGGTGGCCGCGAAATGACAACTGTCGGCCACCTCTGGGTGGCCGCGAAATGACAACTGTCGGCCACCTCTGGGTGGCCGCGAAATGACAACTGTCGGCCACCTCTGGGTGGCCGCGAAATGACAACTGTCGGCCACCTCTGGGTGGCCGCGAAATGACAACTGTCGGCCACCTCTGGGTGGCCGCGAAATGACAACTGTCGGCCACCTCTGGGTGGCCGCGAAATGACAACTGTCGGCCACCTCTGGGTGGCCGCGAAATGACAACTGTCGGCCACCTCTGGGTGGCCGCGAAATGACAACTGTCGGCCACCTCTGGGTGGCCGCGAAATGACAACTGTCGGCCACCTCTGGGTGGCCGCGAAATGACAACTGTCGGCCACCTCTGGGTGGCCGCGAAATGACAACTGTCGGCCACCTCTGGGTGGCCGCGAAATGACAACTGTCGGCCACCTCTGGGTGGCCGCGAAATGACAACTGTCGGCCACCTCTGGGTGGCCGCGAAATGACAACTGTCGGCCACCTCTGGGTGGCCGCGAAATGACAACTGTCGGCCACCTCTGGGTGGCCGCGAAATGACAACTGTCGGCCACCTCTGGGTGGCCGCGAAATGACAACTGTCGGCCACCTCTGGGTGTTGTGGTTTTTGCCGTTTTTTCCGGTCTCGTGATTCGGTTGATTTAGATCCCGATTTGGCAGTAAATCTGATTCCTGATTTGGCAGTAAATCTGGATCCTGATTAGGCAGTAAATCTGATTCCTGATTTGGCAGTAAATCTGGATCCTGATTAGGCAGTAAATCTGATTCCTGATTTGGCAGTAAATCTGGATCCTGATTAGGCAGTAAATCTGATTCCTGATTTGGCAGTAAATCTGGATCCTGATTAGGCAGTAAATCCGATTCCTGATTTGGCAGTAAATCTGGATCCTGATTAGGCAGTAAATCCGCTTCTGAGTTCGAGTCCGAAACTGATCTTGATTCGATCGTGATTCGTCCGAGTTTGTCCTTGGTTGGATCACTCGTTGACTCTTTAACACTTGGCTTGATTCCAAATGCGAACGGATGTATTCCGTTGCTTGCGTGCGATTCGTCGATCTCGTCGCCTCGTTGGTTCGTCGGTTTGTGCCGAGCTGTGCTAAGGGACCTATAAGCAATTTTATATGCCTACAGGGGCGTGACAACATTAAAAATTCAGTGTTTAAAAAAACGGCTTAGGAGGACGGTCGCCTAGGCTACCGGGGCCTTCACGTGCCTATTTTGGCCTGAGCGGCCAATCTAGGAGTTTTGGTTAGCCTAGGCAGCGCATAGGCTATGCCTACGGCTGAGTGGCCAGCTTAGTCGAGCCGCCTAGCTTTTAGAGAGAGAGAGAAGCATTAGAGCCCAATTGACCCAAACCCGCAGCCCATATGCAAACGTAGGAGAAAAAAGGTGGGTTTTTCAACTAAACCCAACCCGACCCGCTACCCTAATTCCTAAACCCGCAGCTCAAACCCTCTTTCCTCTCGCCCACCTCTCTCCCCCCGAATCCCTCTCCTTATCTCCCTAAACCCGATCGCCGACCTATCTCCGCGCGCCGCCTGGCCAGCCGCTAAACTCACCTCGACGATCTCCTGCTCTATTCATCTTTCTCGCCGGCTCCTCGACTCCTCCAAGCACACTTCCTCCACCTCTGATTCCTAACCTTATCTCAGCTGCCCTCCGTACCTCCAAGCACACTTCCTCCACCTTCGACCAAGCCCAAGGTGACAAATTTCTCTCTTTTTTTATTCGTAATTTCTTCTCTAATTTCTACTATATTCCTGATTATTAGGTTGTTTATAGTTCGATGTTCTCTTATAATTGTTTAACAGTGAACTATTAGTTATAACTTTGCTTGAGTGTTATATTATTAATCTAATTGAGAACAAAAGCCATTGAAGTGTTATACTAAATAAAGTAACACTAACAATAAAGATAGTTATTAACATATTGTTATGAAATTAAATTGAGTTAAATTAGTTAATAACAATAGCTTATTAGCATTGATCTTGCTCGCTGTCACTGTTATTTATTTTTTATTTTTTTACTTTGTTGTTTAATAGTGACTAATGAAGTTTCATTGTTTGCTCATTAGAGTGAGTTTGTTAATAGTTTTACTTTGTTGATGTGCTCTTCATTGTTTGTGGTCTTTATGACACTATTTTGGCTATTTTTATTAATTATTATAATTAAATAATAAAAAAGGAAAAGGCCTGGGCTTAGGTCTAGGCTTCTTGGCGCCACCTAGGCTTACGGCTAGGCCCTAGCTAGGCCCTAGGTGCTAGGCCTGCGGTCAACGCTTGGTCCACCTACCGCTTTTTGTAACATTGGGAAGATTTCAGAAAACCCCCTCAAGTAATCCCCAAAGTCAAATAACCTCCCCAAACATTTTAACTTGTCAATTCACCTCCCTTTTTTCTTCTTTTTAGTAAGTTCGCGCTAACAAATTACTAACAGTTAATTGCAAACATTTAATGAGTATTTTGCCCCTTGATTAATTGCACCAGAATTACTGAATGCTGAGTTAATTGCAAACATTTTTTCTCTTCTAATAATCTCTGATAAACTCCAAAAGTATCAAAGCAGAGATTCTTATCCCCAGCGACTTCTTCGAACAGACTTAATTAAGTGCTCGTGTGTGAAAGACGCCTAAGCTTGATGGTGACTTATGCTAGGACACTTGCACAACGAACAAGTCCTTGATTCTTTAATTTGCACATGCGTATCTCATCTTTTTTCGAGTATTTTAAGCATCTTTGATGTTCAGGACTCACATAATTTCAAAAACCTAGATAATATATGTCCTCAGGACCAATGACTTGCACTAATGCACATTATTCTTGTGTCTAATCAGCTAAAGTGGGAAAAAAAATGTTCGCTAAAACCTCTGTGAACAATTATGCTCAATGGAGAAATGCCTATTTACTTGCATCCTCTTTGTTACAACGTCCCAACTAACTGCTATTTTATTCTTACATTTGTGATCACCATCTCCCCAGTTTTAGACCATCTTATCACTGGTCAGTTTAAAGTTTGCTCTTGTAAAGAGAAGAAAAGGGTACTTTTGTCAATGAAATATATTTTCTCTATCCGACATAAGGGAAGTATGGATCTGATTACAAGTTGAAATTGTAGAGAGGCGAATTGATGAGTTAGAAAATTTGGGGAGGTTAGTTGACTTTATTGATTAGTTGAGGAGGGTTTTCTGAAATTAACCCTCCTAAAAATAGCAAGCCCTAAGCCCAAGCCAACTTCTTCTTCTTCCCATGTCTCTTCTTGAGCCACCGCCTGCTCTCTCATAGTTGTTCCCCACAGCAAACCCACCGCCAGCCAGCCCTGCCCTCAATTTGCTATTTCTTGACACTTTTCTGTTCTTTAATTGAAATGTGGTATTTTTTATTGATGTATCAAGCAAGGGAAGGAAAAAAATCCTAACACTCTTTTAAGTTTTGGAGACGATATTGATCTGTTTCCTTCCCTCAGGTATAAAACTCATCAATCTCTCCATTCAATTCAATTGTTTATTTCTTCAAGTTATCTATGCATCTTGTATGTTCATCTCCTGCGTATTGGTTTTATTTGTTGTTCGCCATTTCCCTTTCTATATCAACTAAAACCCTGGTTTAGCTAAAACCCTAAACCATAATTTCGTCCCTCAATGTGCTTATTACTTCATTTCCCTTTTCTCGAACTAGGCTTCAGCAGATATCGCATTTAGAACTAAAATTACGAAATAAAACCTAATCATGTGGCGTTTTATCGTGGTTTTCATTATTTCTTCTTAGATTATTTGTTAATCGTATGCAACTAGCAGCTTAACATTTTCTTTATCAAACTGAGCTGAAGTATATTTGAGAAATTGTCTTCCCTGATGTGATTTCTCTTGGTCAGGGAATAAATATGAAGAAAATCACAATGCCAGATTCCGCACCTGAAGTTATACACGATCCTTCTAATTTTTGCCATAGCTCTCGCCCTGGAGCATCAGCTATTGGAAGGAGTAATTTCAAGGTATCATGATGTGGCTTGAATTCCTTTCTTTATATAGCTAAAGGTCAATACAGTTCCTTCCCTTGCATCTGATGTTAGCAATAGAGCAAATCTGTCTAGCCTGTGACCTCTTGATACTCTAAAAATATTGTTAGTATGTTTGGGACTTAACATGCTCATTTCCTAGTAGCTTATATTTGTTTATAGTTTCAATGGAATAGCTCTGCTAGAAGATCTTAAATTTCAGCTGAACACAAGAAGTAGATATTATGCAGTCACCATGTCATTGGAGGACCTAGATATTTAAGGGATCCTCAATGTTAGAAACTTAGAAATAATTAGCTTCAGGTTAGTTTGAACTTTGAACATCTATCAGCTGAATAGCATCATGATTTGAACCAACAACATTCACCACTTAGATTATTTTTTAATTAAAAATAAAAATTGAATAACCACGTATCAGTTTTTCGTACTAATCTTTAATCTATAATCAATTCTAGGCTTGATTTTGTGGCTTAGTTTAACTTTCTTGTTCTTATTCCAGATCTTGGAAGCTGATTAGTTGGTTGGTTGTTCTATCTTCACCACTTCTCCCTACCTGTTCATTGTACATATCCCTCCATCAGATTTTTTTTTTGATTCATTGAGATTAATGGACGATGAGATTAATGGGATGTGATAAAGGCTGGGTTTAGATTGGTTGCATGAAGATAATAAAGCGTGACCTATGAAACCCCTATATGTATCTTTTTGGCTAGTCTCTCTAAATCTGGTAGCAATTACGGTGATTATTGTTGGCTTTAATGTTACATTACACGCTGGGCGTTTTTAGGCGTCAGACTTGGCGCCCAGCGCTTAGTCGCCTATGCGGACGCGTAAGCGGTTTCTGAGCGTTTTTTTTTCTTTCTTCATTTAAGTCGTGGTCGATGAGGTTTTGCTGAAGGTCGGAGGAGGTAGTGGAGGTGTTCATATTTGGAGGTTAATGGAGTTTGGAGCACGTGTAGGCTACCATACATAAAATCACAATCAAGGCCTACAGGGTGTAATCCACGTGAGCAGACAATGCTCCCCTAAACGCTCGTAAAATCTAGGTGGACAGCCTAAATACCGCCTAGACGCTAGGCGCTAGTTAGGCGGCCTAGGTACCGCCTAGGCCTAGGTGTACGCCTAAGCAGACTAGGCGTAGGTTTTTTAAAACAGTGGTTGGCTTTCATAGTTAGAATGTAATTAGATTGTCAACTATAACATTCTTTCCAGTAGACTTCAATTTTGAATTAGAATGGACATGCTATTTTATCCAGAGCATATCACCATTTCTATGTAATACGTCTGTGTAGGTTCTGTATAATCTTCAATCGTGCACATTGTTTTGATACCAAGGTATGCAAAGGTTGCCCATAGTTTTCTGACACAAAAGCATTGGTCACAGTCAGTGTTATCGAGGCGCAAAGCGCAATGCCGGGCGCAAAGGTCCCTTACGCGCACCATGCGCAAAGCGCACAACGAGGCGCGCGCCTCACTAATTGAGGCGCATAACTCAAACTAATATTTGCCAACATCATAAGACAAAAACATATAAGCAACATATTAGTTACCTACATCCAAAATTATGAGAATATCAACTTAAATCATCAAATTATGCTAACTGAATTTTTAAAGTAATAAAAAAGATACAAGAAACATGTATTTAAATCATCAAATTAAGTGATTAACAATTATGAGCATATGTTTATAAATTGTCACATAAAAGACTAAGAAATATAATGCATATGTTTATAAATTGTCACATAAAAGACTAAGAAATATAATTAACAAACATGACTGTTCATAATTTTCTAATTAGTATTCTTAATTGATATTTGCTACTTAGCATGAAAAGATAAAGAATGAATTTTTAAAGTAATAAAAAAAGATACAAGAAACATGTATTTAAATCATCAAATTAAGTGATTAACAATTATGAGCATATGTTTATAAATTGTCACATAAAAGACTAAGAAATATAATTAACAAACATGACTGTTCATAATTTTCTAGTTAGTATTCTTAATTGATATTTGCTACTTAGCATGAAAAGATAAAGAATGAATGTAACAATTACATATTTACATGTTTATAATTTGCTAGTTAGCATGCTAATTAGAGAATGAAGTTACAATTAGCAAACAAGTATACTAAATTACTAATTATTGTTTTCTTTTTATAGGTTAAACATGAAAAGATGAAAATAGATTAGCAACTAGTAAGAAAGAGTATATTACATGATATAAATATGTAATTATGTAAATTATTAAAAAAATTAGAAGAAAGAGTATGTTACATAACGCAGGTGTGAGGCGCACGTGAGGCGCGCGCGAGGCGCGAGCGAGGCGCAAGTGAGGCGCACGCGAGGCGCGCGCCTCGCTGCGTGCAGCGCCCCGCCTCGCGTGCGGGGCGCATTTCTCCCAGGCCGAAGCGCCCCGTGCCCGGGGCGCGCCCGAGGCGCGCGCCTCAATAAGCCTGGTCACAGTAACCTAATATATGCATTTAACCATTTTTTTATTTCTTGTTTCAAGAAAATGAATTTTGATTTGCACTAACAAAGAGCATGAGAAAAAGATATGTTCCCGACCTTGTGGATTTGTTTGCACCAGTTACTTTTTGTTACTGCCTGTTTTACGGTTTTGTAACCAAAAGCGCTGCTTAAGCGACCACTTACGCTTTTTGTGCCCTTAGCCACTTCCCCTTAGAAAAACCCCATCTAAAAGCAGATGCGACACAGAAAGCAGCTCAAACCTAGGGAGCACGGACACGCATAACATGAAGCCGTGTCGTGTCGTGTCCGTGTCGGATACACGTGTCGAACACACATATCCTATGTATTTTTTAGGATTTTCCTCGTGTCGGCGTGTCGGATGGCCGTGTCGGATCCGTGTCCGTGCTACATAGGCTCAAACAAGTCCACTAAGGGGTTGTTTGGTTTGCTGTAAAAATAACTTGCAACAAATGTTGCAAGTTGCAGCAACAAATGTTGCATGCAACATTTTCTGCAAGAAATCAACTTCAAATTCACCGTTTGGATGTTTGCAATTATATTCTAGGAAATGTATCTTTGATGCATATTTAGTGTTTTGGTTGAAAATAATTAGTGGAAAGGGGAAGCCCACTCATCCATCAGCTCCTCTCGTAGATGCGGTGCGGTTTTACAAAGCATCTAAGCATAGTTCACTCGCGTTGATCAATTAAGAGTTTTGTCGCAACTCCTTAAGTTTACATGTGTTGGTATCAATAATGGATTTTTTTTTTCTAGATAATCACTAATAGCTATATTTATCAATCCATAGAATGATTCGGGTTTCAATGTATTAAAATTATACGAATTTTTTTGTCCCCCACTTGTAATGTTGATCCATAAATATATGAGTAGAAATATTTGGAAGAAAAAGGGATATTTAGCTGCAATAAAAGCTTTTTCTTTACCAAAGTCGGTTTCCACCAGATATTCAAAAAGTTTTTTTGTGCGACAAACAAATAAGAAAATCTAGGAATAATAGGAATATCTGTAGATAGAAGAACTTATTGTCATTCTTGTTGATTTGTGTGATTCATTCGAATATAATAATTGAATCTAACATATTTTTGTTGTGTGATATCTGTAGTCTGATAAAACTTGAATAATTGGCATCAATATAAGCTTCTTTTTTATTCTGATAATGATGTTCACTTTTTCTACTATTTTTATTATTAAAAGGGCCTTAGTGGTGATCAAGCCATAGATTTCTAGCAGTATTGCCTCCATTATTAATTTTCTCTCTTTTTGCTCTGTGTGTGTGCAAATCCATGTTAGTTGCGAGTATTATCACGTTTGTGTTATTTGTATGTCTGTTAATGCTAAGTAAAACTCTCGTAATTGGCCGGTTCCTATAATAATTCCTAAATCACAAATTTCCACAAGAACCACTCGTATCTCAACCATTTATTTCTTCTTTTGTTCTTGAAGAAATTTATTTTTTGATTCATAGTGATTGAGGCTTGCTTATTTTTATAATACAAAAATATAAACCTCAAGTCTCACCATAACTTCAGAGTTTTGTTGTAGTGGTTAAGAGGTATTTAATTTAAGATGGTATCAGAGCAACCCAGGTTGAAATCCTACCGGCCGCAAATTTAAAATAAATTTTCTAAAAATTGACACTCCTGCGGAAGTCCAAGTTCCAGCCCATAGAAAGGGTGCTCAACATGCGGGGGGCATTTTAGAATACAAAAATATAATCCTCAACTCTCACCATAACTCCGGAGTTTTGGTCTAATGGTTAGAGGGACTAAATTTAAGACTCATATTATCTGGTGTTGAGTCTATGAGTTTGTTGAATATTGGGAATGAAGTCAAAGTCTAGTAAGTTTGAGCTTCTCAATAATTTAAACCTGCATCCTGACCAAAGCATTTACAGATGCATGTTTTTATATCATTGTTGAACGGAGCATTAAATTGATTTTTGTCCGTCATTATCCAATAAATGAAGTACCCATGCTTCATCACTGGGTTTAAAAGTTTTGTATTGTTATCATTGATTATTTAATGTTTTGCACTGTTATCAATGATTAGAAAATAGATGGATATTTTTTCAAAGGTTTATATATAATTTATTTAATATTTATTTGCATGTAGGAGAGATTTTGAGGGTGGTGTATGGCTTGAGTTTAATGTTGAGAACATTGCTTGAACACGAAAAGATAATTAAGAGGGATGTCATCTATTAATATGAGCTTTTCTAAAGTAACAACATTTGAAGTTAAAGGATCCTGCTCCATTAGTTATGGATGGGTGGGCGTAATGAGTTTTGAGAATATCCACAAAGTCATGAGGACGTGAATAGAACATCCAATTGGAATATGGGTGGGTGTAATGAGTTTTGAGAATATCCACAAAGTCATGAGGACGTGAAGAGAACATCCAATGGAATCCTCCAAGAGTTCAACATTATTGTAGTATATGCAATTTGTTCAAGATGACAACAGAAGAGGCTCCTAGTTATCATGTTGCTTACCTTTTATTAATCGATTGAAAATTGGAATACAAATTTCTGTACAGCTAGCAGAGGTACTCTTCCCGTTCTAATAGTTCCATGTGCAACAAATTCGATGATGAACTAGGACATACAATGTTTGCTATATTAGTAGATCGATGCAGTTCTATTGTATTTTGACAAACAATTAACCTATCTCCTAAATGCACCTTGTGGACATTAGTTTGAGCTGCTACCATATGGACTTGTAGTGTGTGCGCGCATTTGGATGTGTATGTATCCATGTGTGTCTATACGTATGTACTTGTGTGTACTATGTATGTATGTGTGCATGCATTCATGCATGCATGCATGTGTGTATGTATGTATGTATATATGTGTACTTGATAAGGTGGGTTTTCACCATTCCTAATATGGAAGATGTCCTTCTCAATATTGGTTGTTGCATGCTTCATAACCCTCTATCTTTCTCATAGATATATGTTCATCTCCCACACTTTTTAATTCAAGTGGGTTAGTTTGGGGTACAAAATTAATATGTATCTAATGATTTCTTTTTTCTTGCAGTCTACAGATTTATCTGGCAAAACATTATCTAGAGAATTTGCAAATCAACAGGACAATGAGAATGAAGAACAAGATATAAACAAGTTATTGAAGGATATTCAGTACTTAGGTAATATGTTCTATAAATGACCTTTTTAAGTCTCGAGCATGCGTTTTATTACCTGTTGTATTATAACATTTGTAGAACTTTTTTGCTATCGTTCCAGATATATAATCTAACTTCACAGAGAAATCATTGTCCTCTCTTGTTGATTCTTAGCTAGTGAAATTAGCTAGATAGTCATAAATATGTTCACAAAAATGTAAATCATCTACTTCATCAACAATAAGCCTGTTATATAGGAAACAACTTGAATTATAATTAACAGATTTCTCAATAAATGTGAGTCTTCACTATGCTTTCTACTATGTGAACTTGCAGTACTTCCTATTTGTGAACTTTTTTAGCACAAAAAAATTACTCGCAATACAAATGCAATTTTAAGATTTTGATTGAATACAGTTATAATTGGTTCATATATGCGCCTGTCCCAAACAATGAAGGAAAAAAAACTCTAACTAAATCTATCCTCTAATCAAATCTGATCATAATTACTTATGCAAATTAGTAGCAGTTAAAAAAAAAGATATACACAGAACACACTTGCAATTTTAAGATTTTTATTGAGTACATTTATAATTGCTTTATACATGTTCCTGTCCAAACAACAAATAAAAAAACCCTAACTAAATTTATCCTCTAATCAAATATGATCTTAATCACTTATGCAAAATAGTAGAAGTCAATAAAAAGTTATATAGCTTTAACCGTGAGCTTGTTTGACAACTTGGTCAAACCGGATCATAATCCATTTTTGCTTGTTTCGTAACCACTTTTGAGTAGATTATTTTGGATTATACTACAATTTTTTTGCACTTCACCAAAAAATAAACTTGGATGCCTAGGTTATTTAATAAGCCACATTTTTGATCGAGTAAATGATCAAAAGGCCCATTGCTTTTCCAAATTCTTTTTCTTTCTTCTCTCTCCTCCCACTTTTAAGGATATTTTGGTCATTTTAACAAAAAGTTTATGTATTTTAGACCACTCCTTAAAAATTACACTTTTATTAAAAAGACAAAAGAGCTAATCTTTTTTGGGTGTAGGGGTTAGTTTCATATTTTTCCTTGTGCTTGCTAGGTGACACGTTAGAGCATGAATGTGCAAATTTGGAGGATCCAATGAAGTTTTTCATGTGGGATTTAGTGGAATAATAAAGTTTAGGGGGTTGTGTGCAACACCCCGAATGTTTAGAGGGTTTAGAGGAATAAAAAAAGTTCAGGTTAGAGTTTAGTGCTACCTTTAGAGGGTCGCATGAGTTGGTTCTCAAATGGTTAATAGAACAATGATACAATAAACAATTAAACACTAAAGTTGTCTTTTCAACTTAGCTACAGACAACATGACACACCATATGGTTAAACTACACGCATTCATCAAGAATAAATTAATGCAATATATTACTAACTTGTACAATCTAGAATTAAAAACTTAGGTTAGACTTTAGTGAAACACTCCCCAAAGTTTAGAGAGATTCAACATTAGATTTACTGGCTTTAGTAGATAGTTAAATGTGTTTGCCTCTATTTGAATGTGGTATCTTAAATGAATTTCTAACCATAAAGGCTTGACACTATTTGACTCAAGGTTTTAAATATCGGCCGACATGTCCGACATGTCGGTTTGAGGGCTTGAGCGACACGACATGAGCGTTTTCAACTCGTATATCGGTTTTCAGGGTCAAATCGGAAATATCGGGGCCATATCGACCGATTTTTCAGCTTTAAAAAATCAGCTGATATGACCCTTTTTTTTAGATCTATTTTTCGTTATCGGATTTGGATTTAGTAATAAAAATTCAAACCCGTTTGACCTGTTCTTATGTTTAAGGGTTTTTTATAAACCCGATAGAAAGAAAAGAAAAAAAATTAGGGCTGTAGTGGACTTGGGAACCCATCACTCCTTTTGTGAACGATGACGTCCTTTCCCCACCTCAATCTCAGCCCCCCATCGTCCATCTCCTGTTACGCCCAAAATCCGAACCTCAATCGAACCCAAGGGTGACAGGGTATTCCGTCATCGGGATAAAGGGAAGAGGGTGGTCGGTGACTCATCCGAAGGATCCCGAGCAGACGAAGAAGAAGAGCCCCGACACTGCCTCCCTGCAACGTTGGAATCCACCCATCGTCGGTGTCGCCTCTAGAATTTATAAAGTATGCTTATATTGAATTTAGAAATGCTTAGATTATATTTAGGATATGATATTATACATATAAGCACCACCCGATATGGCAATCCGATATTTAGTCCATGTCCCCCGATTTTCGCTATCCGATATGGATTTCAGTCGTCCGACATGAACCCGACATCCGACATTTAAAACCTTGATTTGACTTTAATGTTTAAACTTTGAGGTTTTTGTCGATTATTGGTTGGTTGTTGTTAGGTTAACCACATATTTGAACTTTTCTTAAATTTTCTTTTTTATGCTAACCATACTAGAAGCATTTGGATGAAGAAAGCATTGATTATAATAACATCAATCAATTTGTAACTTATAGTAGAAGCGTGTTTCTAAAAGTTCCCTAGGTACCCACTTTGGTACCCATGGCGCCTTAATCTCATGTAGGTTGTTGCTTCTAAACAGTTAAAACACTTATGCGAGTTTGCTTAAGCGACCCACTCTAGTTAAAAAAAAAGAAGTTTTATGCGCTTTAGTAAAAGCCCAAACTCATTAGCTATAAACCCAAACTCAAGAATCCATTTTGCATAAAACACTCAGTTTGATTTCCTCCCTCTATACTGCCATAAATTGAAGAAGCAAATCCAACTTAGTAATTGTCAATGCCTTGGATTTTATGTCTGGTCTCGCTTTGCTGAGCTTTCTTCATGCAAACTCCCTATCCGGGCTGTTTTCTCATAGCACACTCCGGTCTATCTGAGTTCGAGTTCTAGCCTATCAAAACACGGTTTTGTTATGCGTGTAGTCTAGGACCCCTTAACAATTAATCAAATTAAGTGTTGATTAATCGGATTATGCGGAATAATGTGTTTTTGAATTTTTTTAATACATACTAGCATTACTACAAGTGCAAATGCACGTGCAATGGACACCAAACTTATTTATCCTAAGCTCTATTTAAAAGATTTAATTGCGTTAAAGTGCCATAAATTTTCGTTGTGTTTTTAAGTTCTTAATTAATATGAAGTTTAGATTTCCTCAAAAATGCTCAAAAGTTTTCAAGATGTAGTTTTAAAAATATAATAATAATAGTGTTATTATAAATCTGAGACTTAGGAGTGAAGTGTATGAGAATATTACTGTCCACTTATTTCGAGTGTTTCTATTTAAAATAAAAAAATATGCTTCAAATTTGTCATAGTCATTTTTTAATTGTTATGCTTAGCACTTGCATATATAATACTTCCCGTTTTTAGAAAAGAAGCGTTTATTTATATTTATGTCTCTTATTACTATTTTATATTTAGATCACTTACACGATATAATATCGTGAATAATTAATTATCCTCATATCATGATTTAGAAGGTTCTAGAGATAGCATTGAAAAGAGGGAAAGGAGGAAAATCTCTCTTGTAAAATTACAAATTTACCCGTCCAACTATACAACAGAAAATTGTATATGTCCTCCATTTCTCTAAACTTTTCACTACCCTCACATTATATACTAGTGTAGAGTTATTACTTATCTGTTAAAATATGTACAATTCATGAGATAGAAAGTATCTTAAGAAAATACCAACAAACATGCTATTGAACATTCAATACCTAGTTAACTACTTAATTTCTAATCCGTACATCAAACTAACTAGATACTCAAATAGTAGTCATTAAATTAAACATATTTAAAAATTTTAATCCGTAAACTAACTAGATACTCAAATAGTTGTTAAATTAAACATATTTAAACTAAAACTTAAAGTTCATAAACTAAAACTAAATCATCTAGTTATCTTCATCATCCTCATAATGAGTGAGAGGAGATAGAGATGGAGAGGGTAGTATTTGGGAAAAGATAAAGGTTTTCTTTTTTTACGTTTTAGTTATTTGGATCAGGTTTGGGTGGTAAACAACAACCCGCAACCAAAGTTAAAACAAATCGCCAACATAAACAAATTATGCAGGCGCTAACTTAAATATCGACCGATTAAGCGGATGTCTATATAAGCAAGCACATAACTAATATCCTGCACGTTTTTATCCTGCTTTCGCTTAAGCATTAAGTGGTCGCTTAAACCTTTTCAGCAGAAAACTAGCCTTTGTCAAAGCCTTAGATTTCTCAAAATATAGCTTTCGTCAAAGCAGCTTAAACACGCTGTTGTAGTTGAAAAAATAAAGAAGTTATTTTGTGTTATGAGGAAACCCAAACTAGATATCCCTTTTTGAATAAAACACCAAAATTGGTTTCCTTCCATTTTTGGCAATCAAAAAAGAAAAAGTGTCAACCCAAACATCGTCAAAGCCCAAGAAATCTTGAAGTTTAATATCTCGTCATTGAGCATCCTCCACTACAAGCTCAAACCAGCCATATCATCACGAAGTAGAGCAGCCTCCACAGCCCTCCAAACCCTAGCCTTAATTGAAGCCCTAGATTTCTTGAAGCCTTAGCCTTCTAGAAGCCTTTGCCTTCATCAAAGTTAGTAACTGCCACGCTATAGGGTTTTGTTGAACCTTGGCCAATGCAGTTGCCTTTCAAATCTTTTTGCTGCAATCAAGTAGGGTTGATTTGATTTTTCCCCTCTCATTTTCTCTTTGTCCCCCCTCTTTGTTTGCGGGAACTTTATGTTTCACCTCCATCTCTTCTTTTTTTCTTATTTTTGGCTAAGTTATACAAATTAATTCAACGAGAATAAAAAATTAGACATTGTTTGATGGTCGATCTAGGGTTTGGTATTTCTTGAAAAAAAGTTGCATACATGGCTAGGTGTTATGCGCCATCTAGTGTTAAGAAGTGTCAATCATCTTTTGTAACATTAAGTGCAAGTACCTATATTATTTAGATTTAGTTGCGCGAATGAATATTTTTATTTTCATTGAAGTATTTATAGACCCTTTAAATTTTGGTGTCCAGCTAATTTTGTTTGGTTGAATATATCTGGATTAAAGACAACTTGTAAACACAATACAAATGTACTAACAAAATCTAAATTCCTTAAATATGAGAAAATCATGTATTTAGTATCTATCTTCATTATCTTCTCCTCTCAAGATCCAATAAATCCATTTTTCCACACACTGCCTAAGTTTGTCTAACATTAAATCTCTTTGACGACTTGTCCCTATTGCTTTCTCCTTCGATCTATCATCCTCTGCGATGAGCTCAAACCTAATCATGAATAACAACCACCGATCCACCAAGGATACATCCTTTGACTTTGCCATAAGTCCATCAACTTTTCCGCTGTCTTTCATCACTATCAATTGCATCTTAGACATCGTTGATCCTCATTTATGCAGATAAGATCTTAATCAATGACTTGAAGACAATCAAATCTATTTTTAAAACTTTACCGGCAAAATTGTTCAGCCCGTGTTCTTTTTTTTTCTCTTCAGTATTCTTTTCTTTTTGAACTTTTTGCTAGAGTAGTATATGTACTGTAAAGAGGGAAACTTGTATTTTATCTTTCTGCGACGTCTAAACCCTATAATTTTACAATTGGTGACAAAGTTATCTTAAAGGACAAAAGATTCACAATAATTTGAGCGTTTTCAGTAAATCAAAATGATTACAAATATTCTTCAAAATACTACATACAACTTAGAAAATTTATACTACTAAAATTACAACTCAAACCCTTTGAGGTTGCAATTTTCAATTAAGTTACGTCTCATATCATGCTGAAAAAATATGTTAATGTTCTATCAAATAACTACATTAGTAAATTTCTACTTTTAAGTATGACGATTTGGACAATGAAGTACATATTAGTCTATTTTTTTACATAGTGTGAGTTGCTTATGAGATATTGACCTCAATAGTACATCTATAGCATATTGGAGGATTTTTGCTGAAGATCAGACCATTGAAAGAAAGAAAATCTACATTAAAGAAGTTAATATTTGTGCGCTAGTCTAACTCATGGCAATGACATGTGGGTTTTTTTAAACGGGACTTGGTGTTTTAAAGGCGATGCACCTTAAGAGCTTAAGCGCTCAAGCGAGACAATCTTCTTTCTAACTTAGCGCTTTGCGTTTTGCTAAGCGATGAAGCTTACTGAGGTGAACGCCTTTTGTTGCCCTTAGGAGCTGTCCTTAGCACCTCATGACCTTGCCTTGGCCTCTTAGGCGTGGCATTTGCCTAAGGCATGTGATGCAAAACACATGATATTTGTCTCTGTTTTAAAATTTTGAGGGTGTAGAAGGTGTTCAATAAAGTAAAGTTTTTGTTATTGAATTTATATTTTTTTTCTTAGTTGATTTTTTTGCCTTTTTGTTGTAATGTACTTTATTACCTATATCATTTGGTCGACATGCTACAAAGTTGAACCCTAAAGTTTGAAGTTTGCTGCTTAATAATCTATTTTAGCAATATTGGTTAATATTACTATTTAGTATTTGTTGCTTATTACTTTATTTATAGATTGTTTATAAATTATTAGATCCGTGAACTTTGAAAATTTGGCATTGATTAATTTGTGGTGTTGCTATTTATTGATATTTGCATATCATTTATAATGTTTATGAATGTTTTGAATATTTATCGTCTTGGTTCACTCAGGCAATCACCTTTTTTATGGCCTTTCACCTCAGGCAACAATGGACCTCATTGTCTTAACCTTGCATTTTGCTTTTAAAACACCATAGGACGGCCTGATTGTTGAGTTGGGCTATCATGAATAATAAAAATAAAATGGGCTGGGTTGAATTATTTTCAAACCTATAGTTGGGCTGAACTGGAATTTTCTGAGAAAAAATTGTAACTATTACGTAAGGTGGGCCGGTTCAAGAATGGGTCGGGCCTAGTTCTTTATCCATAGGTTAGAGCAAAACCTAGCCCGCCCCACGGTGCGGGTATATCATGGGCTGGGTTAGGCTCGACCCACTGTGGGTTGGGTCAGGTCTCGAGCCAAGGCAGGCGAGGCTGGTTTGACTTGCTATTTGAATCGGCCCACGCACACCCATATTGAAAATGTCAACGTCAAATATCGGAAAAGAAAAATTGGGACGGGAATTATACATCTTTATTTTCTTCTCCTCTTGTCCTCAACCGAACCTAATAATCCATCTTTACACACCTTCTTTGATTGCTCGACATCCTTATCGAAAATGTCAATGTAAAATATCGCAAAAAAAGGGGAGAGAATTATCCGTCTTTGTTTTCTTCTCTTGTCCTCAACCGAACCTGATAATCCATCTTCACACACCTTTGATTGCTCGACATCAGATCTCTTTGGTGATGGGACCGTGCTTCTGCCATTTGCTTCCTGTCTTCTTGTCCTCTAGCTGAAGAGCTCTGATAAGGGTCTCCAACTATGCTCTATGACGAGTTTGGCCATCGTACAAGTCTGAAGACTTACCAATTAAAAGCAATGTTATAGAAAGCGCTAGGTGCGTAGTCTCTACCAAGGAGGATCTTTTTTTAATTTTAAATTATGATAATTTATGATAAATGCTCTAAACTCATGAAAGAATGCAGAAAAATCTATAGATTTATAATACTCAATAAGCTAGCATAATACTACACACCGGCACACATAAAGTATCTGGAATATAGAAGTCTCAAGTTCCAAAATATCAACAAAGGAACAATTCCTGCTTTGCAAATACCATCAACCAACTACAAATTATAGTTTATTAGTTTAACTCACTACTTAAATAAATAAGTGACTAATTTCTAAAGTCAGTTTACTTAGGTGGTTTAACTCCATTTTTTCCTCCTAGGCTTCACCACCTGTGCCTACTAAATGAACCCTTTCCTAGTATGCACCCCCAACTCATCAAAGACCTTAGCTTGTTACTCCATGTCAAGATATAATACCATATCTAGAAAACCATCCTCGCCTTTCTAAAGTTTTTCACCACATTATTGCTGTGGAATTAGTAAGGATTGCGGAGCTAAGAGACCATATGGAAGGGTAAAACAGTCAATTCTTAGACTCAGCTTTTGTAATATCAATCACTGGATTGAAGTACTTCCTCTTCTTCAAAGCAACTTTGTTCTCCTTCATGGGTCTATACTTACTCTCAACCACCCTCAACAATTTTAAATGGATCGCAAAACCACTGATCAATATAAAGTCACCAACTGATATGGTATGTTGGTTACTTTATCCTTGTGTCAAATATTCTTCTAATTGATTGGCAATAAAGATGTTTTAGCAGAAAGAGTTAATCAATATGTTGTGTAGCTAGATGTAGGAATATTTTGACTCTAATTGATGGTTATTTACTTCAAATTGTTTTATCTAATAATTTCATTGTTTCACATATAGGCTGCTCGACTTGGAAAGAGCGGAAGAAGCTGGAAAACGAGAGAGTGGTAGCCTTGGGCGGGAAGGTAATTTCTGCTGAGACCATTGCTTTACACACTATTTATCAACCAAACTGCAAATATTTCTACACTTATTGAAGATTTTCCATTAACAGGCACCTAAAATGCATCGGGTGCCTCTAAGTGTAGGAAAGGTGCAGTTTAAAAACCAAAAGAAAAGAAAGGAGAAAAGAATTGAAGAGGTGAGAATAATTTTCATGGACTTCTGTGCATTCTGTGCATGCCTTCACTATGCTTTAAAAAATGCCAGATTTTGTAATTTTTTTCAAACCTTTCCTCAGGAGCAAATTCTCGGAATATTTATGAAACAATCTAGTAGTCATAAAGTAGAGAAGCGCAAAGCAGAGGACAGAGTTCTGAAGGCAAGCGAGGGGCACTTCAGCAGAGGTGTACTGAATGTTAAACATCTTTTAGAACGCAAAAAGCCAGGAAGCAATGATCCTTCACCTCGAATGCATGGAAAGGTGAAGAAGAAGGGCAAAGGTAAAGCAAAAGGTAAAGGGAAGGGCAGGCGGAAGAGGAACAAATAACTCATTCTGGCACATTTAATTTTGCAGTCAAACTTTGCTTCATTGCATCAGATGTAAGTTTGAGTTTTATGACTTTATTAAGAACATCCTCTCACATTGAAGGATGCTTTTATCATTAAATTAGAAAGGAGCAATGCCGATTCACTGTATGAGAATTGAACTTTTGAAGTGAATTAGGCAAAAATATGTGTTTTATGATATTCTTTTTTTTAATTAGAAAGTCTAACCTTGTTATGTAATTGAGTTTTAACTCGTATATGTAATATTCCTTGTCTTATTCAAGTAGCGAATCAGATCAGACAACCAATTCAGGTACAGGCACAATTTTTGAATTCGTAAATCTGCATCATTGTGGTTATCTATAGATTTTTCGATCTTCCATAATTGATGAATGCTTGAAGGATTAAGGGAAAGAAAAGTTGGACGATGGTTATGTTTTTGATGTTTAAATTGGTTATTAAACATGAAATAGAACCATCATATGTTTATGAGCTTGGGAGTTCTCTGCTTGTTTCATCTCGTCAGAATTAACTATTGTCTTTTTATAGCTTAAGCATGTATGATAGTTCATCTTGTTCGTGCATTGGTGAAGTTAGAAGCGTTGTGATGTTGTTGTTATGTTCTCCCTATTATTGAGAAAAGAAAATATTTTATTGACTTTTGTAAAAGAGGTTTCTCTCTAGAGTTAGAGAGTGCGCTATCATCTCAAGATGTTGAGAATGATAAAAGGTTGAAGTCCAGTGCACGCAGTTGGGTGATTGACGAGGTTCTAGTCTGTTTGGCTTCTGGCGGTAGTTCATAATAGTGGATTTGAAATATCTTAGCTTCGGTGCTAGGTAGGTGGATGTACCCTGGTTCATAGGTAAGCCATCTCTCTGTGGTTTGATTATTGTCCATCTATTTTACTTTACTATGTGTTGCTTTGGTTGTTCTATCTATTTTACTTTACTATGTGCTGCTTTGGTAGTTCTATTGAACCTTTTTAAGATAGCTCGGTAGGATGTCCTTATCTCGTTTCTGAGTACTTGTGATTTTGCATTGCTCTGGTAGTTCTGTTGGACCTTTTTAAGATAGTTCTTTATGATGACCTTATCTCGTTTCTGAGTGCTTGTGATTTTGCATTGTTTCGTATGCTTCTGTTTATCTATGTGCTGAGCATTCCATTGGAAGTTTCATTGAATTTTCAATCTTTATTTCTATGCATCTGTACTTGTATTTTACATAAACTTTGCATTTAGTTTTTATTTGCACCATTCATCCTCTAGGGTCATACCTTTTAAAATAAAATTAATATTTAAATTAAGTTGAAAGGAAATGAAGGTCTAAAAAGAAAAATACTAGGGGAAAAAGAGAAAATAGAAAAAAAAATGACAAAATAAGTCGCAAAGAGAATAACTAAGGAATAGTCAACCCTCCTTTATATATTATGAGCAAGGTTATGAATATAGGATATCAAGGAAATATCGGGTGCTCAAAATTCATATTGGATTGCGGATATCGCGGAAATATCGAGAATATGTTGTAAATATCAGAATTATAAAACAGATGTTTACATATATAGTATAATATATTAAAATATAATCTTAATATACTTAATGAAATCTAAGTACAAAATGTAAATAATATATGTTTAGGATCACTAATCAACGTTATAAAATAAATAAAAGTACACATCGACATTGCTACATGTCATCAATTTTTTTAGGTCAAAATATCATTTGATATAATGGGGAAACATGATATCTTGCCCAGAAATTGCCAAACATAGTATATTGTTTTGTGACAAATCATATAAAAGGATATATTAGCCAATATATGGGCTAATATATCGGCTACATTGGGAATATAACGTCCAAAATAGGCAAAATACGATAAATGATATTTAGAGACCATATTAGTTACGTCAAGTCCTGTAAAAGAATATATCGAGGTATATATCGGGCCATGTCGGGGATATTTAAAACAATGATTATGAGAAATTGGTGGTACTCCTAAAAGACACAAAACAACGAGACATAAGTGCATAAAATAATGCCATGTGTCATATGTTATTTTAATAATAAATTAGAATTATGATATGATTTGACTTTATATTCTATCCATGATTAGAATCTTCATCAAATTAAATCTTTCTACAATTAGAAAGTTCTAATTATAGTCAGATATTTGGTAGTCCTAAGCAAACCATACTTATCCATAATTAAGAAAAAAAATCTAATAATCGCATTTTTAATTCTCATCTCTTTTATATATAAATGAGGGATTGGTTTATAATTAGCTTTATATCTCAAATAATTGGCACATGACTCTCCTTAATTTTTAAAAGATAAATTTCACTGAACTCCCAATAAGTTTAATTGTTTGACACTAAGACAACAAATTTTTTTAAAGCAAAGATAAGTTTAGGAATTTTAGAAGACCACCAAAATATTTTGAATTTTTGCACTTAATCTCATAAAGGCATTACCATATAATTTTACACTGACAAGTATTATCCCCCACGACAATTATATATCCTTCAAATTATTCCTATTTGCAGTTTAATGTATAAAATTATAAAAAACTTTAAAAAAATACAAAAATTATAAATAGCACTCTTAAAAATATGAAACTACAAATAACCCATTGAGCCATGTCGGGAATATTTAAAACAATGATTATGAGAAATTGGTGGTACTCCTAAAAGACACAAAACAACGAGACCTAAGTGCATAAAATAATGCCATGTGTAATATGTTATTTTAATATTAAATTAGAATTATTATATGATTGACTTTATATTCTATCCATGATTAGAATCTTCATCAAATTAAATCTTTCTACAATTAGAAAGTTCTAATTATAGTCAGATATTTGGTAGTCCTAAGCAAACCATACTTATCCATAATTAAGAAAAAAATCTAATAATCGCATTTTTAATTCTCATCTCTTTTATATATAAATGAGGGATTGGTTTATAATTAGCTTTATATCTCAAATAATTGGCACATGACTCTCCTTAATTTTTAAAAGATAAATTTCACTGAACTCCCAATAAGTTTAATTGTTTGACACTAAGACAACAAATTTTTTTAAAGCAAAGATAAGTTTAGGAATTTTAGAAGACCACCAAAATATTTTGAATTTTTGCACTTAATCTCATAAAGGCATTACCATATAATTTTACACTGACAAGTATTATCCCCCACGACAATTATATATCCTTCAAATTATTCCTATTTGCAGTTTAATGTATAAAATTATAAAAAACTTTAAAAAAAAATACAAAAATTATAAATAGCACTCTTAAAAATATGAAACTACAAATAACCCATTGAGCCATGTCGGGAATATTTAAAACAATGATTATGAGAAATTGGTGGTACTCCTAAAAGACACAAAACAACGAGACCTAAGTGCATAAAATAATGCCATGTGTAATATGTTATTTTAATATTAAATTAGAATTATTATATGATTGACTTTATATTCTATCCATGATTAGAATCTTCATCAAATTAAATCTTTCTACAATTAGAAAGTTCTAATTATAGTCAGATATTTGGTAGTCCTAAGCAAACCATACTTATCCATAATTAAGAAAAAAATCTAATAATCGCATTTTTAATTCTCATCTCTTTTATATATAAATGAGGGATTGGTTTATAATTAGCTTTATATCTCAAATAATTGGCACATGACTCTCCTTAATTTTTAAAAGATAAATTTCACTGAACTCCCAATAAGTTTAATTGTTTGACACTAAGACAACAAATTTTTTTAAAGCAAAGATAAGTTTAGGAATTTTAGAAGACCACCAAAATATTTTGAATTTTTGCACTTAATCTCATAAAGGCATTACCATATAATTTTACACTGACAAGTATTATCCCCCACGACAATTATATATCCTTCAAATTATTCCTATTTGCAGTTTAATGTATAAAATTATAAAAAACTTTAAAAAAAAATACAAAAATTATAAATAGCACTCTTAAAAATATGAAACTACAAATAACCCATTGAGCCATGTCGGGAATATTTAAAACAATGATTATGAGAAATTGGTGGTACTCCTAAAAGACACAAAACAACGAGACCTAAGTGCATAAAATAATGCCATGTGTAATATGTTATTTTAATATTAAATTAGAATTATTATATGATTGACTTTATATTCTATCCATGATTAGAATCTTCATCAAATTAAATCTTTCTACAATTAGAAAGTTCTAATTATAGTCAGATATTTGGTAGTCCTAAGCAAACCATACTTATCCATAATTAAGAAAAAAATCTAATAATCGCATTTTTAATTCTCATCTCTTTTATATATAAATGAGGGATTGGTTTATAATTAGCTTTATATCTCAAATAATTGGCACATGACTCTCCTTAATTTTTAAAAGATAAATTTCACTGAACTCCCAATAAGTTTAATTGTTTGACACTAAGACAACAAATTTTTTTAAAGCAAAGATAAGTTTAGGAATTTTAGAAGACCACCAAAATATTTTGAATTTTTGCACTTAATCTCATAAAGGCATTACCATATAATTTTACACTGACAAGTATTATCCCCCACGACAATTATATATCCTTCAAATTATTCCTATTTGCAGTTTAATGTATAAAATTATAAAAAACTTTAAAAAAAAATACAAAAATTATAAATAGCACTCTTAAAAATATGAAACTACAAATAACCCATTGAGCCATGTCGGGAATATTTAAAACAATGATTATGAGAAATTGGTGGTACTCCTAAAAGACACAAAACAACGAGACCTAAGTGCATAAAATAATGCCATGTGTAATATGTTATTTTAATATTAAATTAGAATTATTATATGATTGACTTTATATTCTATCCATGATTAGAATCTTCATCAAATTAAATCTTTCTACAATTAGAAAGTTCTAATTATAGTCAGATATTTGGTAGTCCTAAGCAAACCATACTTATCCATAATTAAGAAAAAAATCTAATAATCGCATTTTTAATTCTCATCTCTTTTATATATAAATGAGGGATTGGTTTATAATTAGCTTTATATCTCAAATAATTGGCACATGACTCTCCTTAATTTTTAAAAGATAAATTTCACTGAACTCCCAATAAGTTTAATTGTTTGACACTAAGACAACAAATTTTTTTAAAGCAAAGATAAGTTTAGGAATTTTAGAAGACCACCAAAATATTTTGAATTTTTGCACTTAATCTCATAAAGGCATTACCATATAATTTTACACTGACAAGTATTATCCCCCACGACAATTATATATCCTTCAAATTATTCCTATTTGCAGTTTAATGTATAAAATTATAAAAAACTTTAAAAAAAAATACAAA